TATTATACTATATTATGCTATATTATATTATACTATATTATACTGTATGATACTATATTATTATACTATATTATACTATATGATACTATATTATTCTGTATTATACCCTAATATATTTCCCCCTTAGCCAGAACGTCTGACATTCTTGAAGCCAAGGAGCCAGCCAAGGAGCCGGAGAAGCCAAAGTCTGAGCCTCCGGAGGAGAAAAAGGAGGAGTGAGCCAGTTCAGCGTGCAGGCTTACAGTGATAGGACTCTAGGGTTTATAGTGTATTTTAATACAACAAAGTATACTCTAATATAGTAAAATACGTATAACAGTAGAATATAAAATAGTCGAAATTGGTGATGTGTAAAATCAAGAGTTTGGAAACTCCGTATTCGGTTATCTGACTCCCTGAGGAGGCAGGTGCCAGCGGTCCGTTTTCACAGGGTAAAAAGTCCCCCTTAAAGTAGATAGAATATGGGATATATTATTGGGGTTATATAGGGATAATGGAAAAGAAAATGGAAGCTACTATTTAGGGTTTAGGGTTTAGGGTATGGGCAAGAGACGAAGGCTTTTGAGCCTTCAAGGCTCTTGCCAGGCGGTGTCCATCTTGAATCCACGGCCTTGATAGGATTTTAAGGGATTCCGGGTTTGACGTGGCACAAGGTCAGGAGTGTCGGAATGTTTTCGGAAGATTGCTCTAAGAGTCTAAGACCGGCATCGGTCAAAAGGTTTCTGACATGACAAACTTGAGCTGTAGCCTAAACTCCTTAAAGGGCATGGGCATCAAACAATAATTTGAGAAGGCATCAACAATTCCGCCAAGCATCAAAAAATTGCCAAGCAGCAAAAACTGATTTGAGCTGTAGTCTGTATTGTTCTTATCGGTATTGCTACCAGTCTACGTAATATCCGTATTCGTTTTGTTAGTACTACTATTCGCGATTCACTTTGTTCTTGCTAATTTATAGTACAGTTATTCTCATATTTCTCTTGATGCTTATCAAATTATTGTTTAATACAGTGCACAAGTTTTCCATTTTCTTCTTGATTTTATAGGTCACATTTTTCGTGGTGATTATCATTTTTTCTTGATGCGTCGCCCTCTAAAGGGGGTCCATGTTTAGAGTTTGGGGTCTAAAATCCTTAAAGGGGGGTAAATAGGAGACTAGTATAGGGGTGATTAAAGGGGATACTGCATCACCGGGAATAAAGTTTAGTCGCACTTGCTTGCTTGCCTTGCGCGGGGGACGCGGAGTATACTAATGTGCGATTTCCTTGGACTGGCTGTTCGAGGAACTAATCCACCGGGGGCAGGGGGTTTGAGCGGGAACTTTGCTAGCATATGCGAGTGCCACAAACTGTCGTCCTGCCGCAGGAGGAGTTTAGACAATAGCTCAAGAAGATCAGCCATCCTAAACTCCGAAACCTTGCAATTTCGGAGTCTCAACTCCAAAACCTCTTGTGCTAGACCCACCTGCAGTCCTAATCCCCTAGATGGCCCCCAAGGTAAAAGTACAGCCTGAACCCCCTAAAGCTCGTCCTTTAGGGGCCAAGGTAGTCCAAAGATCCAAACTTTGCTCCGGCCCTGGCTTTGCTTCTTGAATACCTCTCTTGGAACGGAACCACATTTGGGGGTTTCCCAAAATTAGGAGTACCCTTATTGGGGGGTCGTCCCTACAATAAGGTCTATAGTAATTTGGGGTCTATGTTGGGGTCCCCCTATTTTGGGGGAGTACCATTTTTCAGCCCACATACCAGAGAGCCTCCGTACCTGCAACCAGATCAGCCCCCAACCAGAATGCATGGAGCCTGCAACCCCAGACGTTTGGTGAAGTCAAGTCCCATAGCCACTAAACTGCAGGCCGATTAGTAGGGAAGGAGGGGCTGGACCAAGATGGACGGGAGAGCCAGCTATTTCAGAACTACGGTGGATACTAAACATCCTGCATGACCTTTGGTACCTTATACCTTGGGAATTATGGTGCCATGGTGTACTAAGGTCATGCAGGATTTTTAGTATCAACAGTATCACTCGCCTCTCGTGCTTTCTTTACCCTTACCTGTCCGCAAGCCGCAGATCATCTAGAAATTCTTACGGCGCTTATACAAGTCATTATCATCATATGTACTCATTTATATTTGATATACTATTCTGATTATTCTTAGTTGCCTACCCTAAACCCATTTTTAGTTGCATTCTTATGATAGAGACGGCAATTGCAGGAGTCTCCGCCCAAAAGCAGCGGCTGGGGTAAGCTGCGCATGGCGGCCAAGAAAGTGCAGAGCTTGACGCCCGATTCACAGAGTCCCTATATAAACAACTACAACCCCTAAATGAGCTATGGTCTAAACACCTTAAAGGGAGTTATATAGGGCATTACTATAAGGGTTATTAAGGGGAATACTCCGCGAGAGAGAGAGAGATTCTCGAAGTTTATTTAGACAGTGGCTCAAAGGGTCACATATAGCTCGGTATACTCCCCATGTCAGCGCGCTTCTCACTTCTTCCTTATCTTCTAGCACTGATGGTTCTGCTACCGCTTGTGCCACTACGGCTGCTCTTTTGCTGCTGCTGCTGCTGCTGCTGCTGCTGGTTTTTGTTGCTGCTACTAAGCCCTAAACCCTAAACCCTAGTATTAGTACTAGTACTATACTGCTACTGCTTTTTGCCTCTGTTCCTTGTTCGACTCGCTTCCAGCTCGCCACGGGTAATGTCCTCAATTTCTCCAAAGCTGCCACTGACATGTGAGCTACAGTCTAAACTCCCTAATGGGGGCTAGGGGATTATATACGGGACTACTATAGGGGCAATTAAGGGGGATACTAGGAGTGTAGACTATAGCTCATGTAGTCTTGCCTGCGCAGGGGCTGAGACTACTACTTCCCTTTCCTTATTCTGTGTACCATGGCGATAAACGGTGAGCAGTTGTATCATTCGTTCCTGCAGAGCTTTCACCCCTTCAAGGAATAATCAGGCTATGCATGTCTAGTTTAGACTAGACAGCACATAATCCCCAGATAAACCCCTATATATTCCTCATCTAATCGCCTTCATAACTTTGTCGAATCCCTTGATAACCCTCTTTAATCCCTATCTAACCCCTCTATAACCCTGTGCAATCCCTATCTACGCGCCGAATGAAACCCTGCGTAGTCCCTATCTAATCTCCATATGACCCTCTACAATCCTTATCTCATCCCCTTCAGAACCTTATATATATATATTTATACATATGTACGTCTTTATGATCCTATATAATTAACCCTTTGTAATCCTTATTTAATCCCCTTGAGAATCCTCTGTTCCTCCATAACCCTATAGAAATAAAAGGATAGGTTTGGCAGTCCCAGACTGTCCAGGCATGCAAGATATGCATCTCACCACCTTAGCCCCAGAATCCGACTTTGGCCTGCTTCTGGCCGTGTTGATATTGCTGTTTAGGGTTCAGGGTTTAGGGTATTTGTTTAGGTTTCAGGGTGCAGGGCTTATTATATGGTAGTTTCCGTGCGGACCCCAATACATAGACCCGAAGGTAGTATGATCTTTATCATGGGGACCACCAAAATGTACCCCCCCCCCCCAATTTATGCAAGCCCTCATATAGTCCCGGCACATACCCCCACATACGGTAGTAGTTCATTCTCTTGTCCACTATTCCATATACAACCCCTAAAATCTCCCTGTATCCCAGGAATCGTTTAACTTCAATGATGAAGGAGGAGGGTCCGCAGGACCCGGCTGAACTCTATGGTTCTTGGATTTGGTGTTCGGGGTTTACGGATCTAAGCAATAGGGTTTAGGGCTTAGGGTTTAGGATCCAGGGATCTAGGCCATGGGGATGTCCTGGATGCAAGAGAGTTTAGGGCCGGAGGTTTGGGGTTAGGGTGTCCAGTTGGGGACGCGGCTTAGGCTTGCATGGGCAGTTTCTGGCACAAATGGACAGGCCATTTTAGGGGATGTATAGGGAATATTTCAAAAAACAATAATGCCAATTACTACAGCATATTGGGGTATTAGCTTCTGAGCATGCGGATGTCGACACAGCTGGTCGCCTGAGTCAATCCTGTCTGTTGCCAACTGCGCCGCCATTCTGCTTGATTACCTTCGAGTATCATGGTGAAATCTAGAAGCCTCATACCATGTTGTTTCCCCCAGCCAGTGGTTCGTGACAGGTTCTTGGCATAATCTTCCTACCGTGCCAACTTCAACCCTACCCCGCAGATTGAGTTTGGGCTAGATCTGTGTCACCTCTTCTGCTACAGGAGGAAACCGAGGAAGATGAGGAGGCATTCAAAGAAAGAGCCGCTCTGCACATTTAACGGATTGTGATAACCGTAGGTCCTGCTGTGATGCCCTCATCATGATGATGCTGCGTAAGTAGGTTTCCGGGTTTTGCACACTCGTGATGGTTGCTGAAGGGGTGTCTCAAGACTCTGCTTCAACGAGCATGCCACCCTTAATCGGTGGTTGTGTTCAAGGGACCCTAGGGGTTTGACCTGCACCTGGTCCGATGAGGTGCGAATTCCCTCTGAGGAAGGTGCAGTCGGATGATCCTTACTCCCATGCTTAAGGCTCAGAGATATCCATAACTTTAGAATTTTGGGGGTTGCCACAGTAGAAATGTCCTGTAGTTCAGGCATCTGAGCGGTTGTGTCATTGTAGATCCATCCGGGAGGATGGGGGCGCTCAAGAACCAGGTAGAAGCAATGGTCACCATCCAGAAGCGGGTGAACTCCGCTGAAGGTAGGCTACCCTACTTGCTATGATGTCTTGGGATCCTATACTACAACCGCCCTTAGTCCCCTCCCAACAAGGCTTGAGCATACCTTAAATCACCCGTAGTTCGACCCAGTTGAGATTTGTTTGAGGAGGGGAAGCAACATTGGGGTGTAGCATGGGATCCCATGTTGTTAGCCTGCATCATGGGCATGAACCAATCGTTCGGCATCCTCATCCGCTACGCTTGCAATGTTTGCAGGGAATTTAGGAGCAATCGGTAACTCTTCCTGCAATCCTTGCGGCAATCTACCAAACAAAAAAAGGTCTGAAAAGAACTCATAATTTGTTATCATCCTGAACCCTGCAGAACCACCATACAGCCATAAAGGATTGATTCTTTTGAGGCACCCAAACCTACCCTGGCAAACAGGCCACTCGGATCATGCAGTCCATGGTAGGAACCACATCAATCTATCCCTAGACGCCGGCACCGCGCGCCTGATGGGCGGGAATCATCTTTCCCCGTGCCAAACAAGAAAACGAGCTTTCCTGACATAAGGGTTCAGGGTTGTGGTGTAATTCTCCTAGTTTCCTAACCCAAGTATAACCACAATAGGGGACCTAGGGATCTTATCTTCCGGGGAGGGATGACTTGTCATGACCCTCGCAACCCCATTCCTTAGCCAAAAAACCGTATCCCTTCCCCTGAAGCCCCTCCTAAGCCCCACACAACTTACAGAAAGGAAGCCCAGAAGCCTAAAATCTAAACTCCAATCCCTAAACCCTAAAGGTCACTGCCCAGCTGCGGGGCTTGAGCCCGGACCGGCGCTATGAGAGATGCTTACATTGGGGTTTCCAATTCCAATACATTGGAACTACATAAGGATTAGGGTTTAGGGTCTAGGGTTATATCATATGGTATGGAGAGGGCAGTATAGTGTAGTGGTTGCTTGTAGATTATACATCGGTAAATAGGGATACATAGGATTGAGGTTTTCCAAGTCTCTTTTGTTGGAAGCCTCCTAGCGAGGATTGTAGTATGTTGGGGTCTATATCCTATGGAAACCACCACATGACGAGCTTCTCAGGAAGCATGTTCTACATGGGCTTAGGGTTTGGAGATTTTCGGAGAGCTTTTCCTAAATAATTTCTAAAATGGTTTGAGGCCGGGACGTTTCTGCTCATACTTTGCCCCTAGACAAGTGCTGTTTTCATCAGCTTGTAGCGGCTGTAGCGACCACTTGCAAGTGAATGAGGTACCCATAATTTTGGGAAACCCTAAACCCTAAATAACCCTATATAACCCTATATAACCCCCATATAACCCTATATAACCCCCATATAACCCTATATAACCCCTATATAACCCTAGAAAACCCCTATATAACCCTATATACCCCTAATTTAGGGAAACCCCCATTTGTCCTGGCAGGATGAAAGTGTGAAGCTTTTGAACCTCTCCAGAAAGCATCGGGCTTTGTGCTTGCAGGCCGCGAAGAAATGGGGCTACTATGGTACCCAATATTACCCCAATAATGGAGAATCAAATGGAAAAGAAAATGGAAAATGAAATGGAAGCTGGGACTGTATAGGGTATTATAGGGATTAGGGTTTCCCAAAATTAGGGGTACCATTTTGGGGTCCCAATAATAAGGAATATAGTATTTTGGGGTCTATATTTGGGGTCCCCCTATTTTGGGGAGCTACCACATCAGGAAATGCATGTTTCTGGCATGTGTCATCAGCATTAGGATTTTACTTGCTGAGAAGTGTGCTGCTGCCTCCGCTCCTAAAATTCAATGCTACAAAAGCTGCATATGAATGTAAGCGCGACTGTCATTTCCATTATGATTCGTGTCAGATCGGTACCGATGTTCGTAGAGAACATATATGTATATATACACATACATGCAAATGCACTTAGCTTATGTCTTCTTGCTATGAAGACATTCTGGCGGTTGCTTCGGGGCAGGTGGCGCGTGACTCGGGCCTCTGGTCCTCCACGCAGGGCTCCTCGCTGCTGGTCCTCCGGGAAGGGCCCTTCACTGAGGAGGTCCGCAAGGCAGGGCCTCTTGTTGCGTCTGGAGACCCTGAGAGATAGAATTGAAAGGGTTCTTTTGGGGTATTAGTAGGTTGTGGTGACATTGCGGTTGTAACTTGAAAAGGTATAAGGGATTCTGCAAATCAGCCTGGAGATAACGTTCAAACTGGGATGGGGCATCGCCGATTTTGGGGCGTCGCTTGGGTCAAATGGGCTGAAGAGGACGTCTTCGGCCCAGAAATCAAAATCGTGTATTGAGGTCATAAGGGAGTTGATTCGGGAGCGAATGTTTAGACACTTTTCCAGCGGCGAACAGGCTGCGATACTGAAGGTGCTTTAGGCATGACATTGGCTACGAAAGCCTGCCCATGCACCGGATGTGGTTGCAGCCGCATGTTGTGATGCAGGCCCACATGCTGTGTCTCAAAAAAAGCAGAAAGAAGGCTGTGACAAGCACTGCATGTTGGGGATAAGCTGCCGCAGCGGGTGAAAAGGCAATTGGTAGTTTCTATTAGTAAGGGCACCCCAATTTATGTCCCAGGATGCTAGTACGGAACCACTAAAATTCTGCCCTTGATTTTGGGAAACACTGATCAATGCCAGGCTCCATATCATTTCTCCATTAGATTCTCCATCATGGGGGTAATGCCCCTAAACACTTGACCCTGAACCCCATACCAACCCTAAATACAGTATAAGTCGTAGTTTCCATTTTCTTTTGCATTCTCCCATATATACCCCTATATGGGACCGGAAGGAAATTGCAAATCTCCAGCCCGCCGCCGGCCTCCGCCTATTGGTTTCAAAGATTGGACCAGGCGCTGGAGCGGGATTCGCTGTGACAGAAGGGTTATATAGGGATTATAGGGTACGGTATGCATGATCCGTGGCTCCTCTACAAAAGCTGGAGGGTTGCAGTTTGTTTAGGTTTTAGGGCTTAGAGTTTAGGGAGGGATGCTTGGAAACAGTGTAGGGTTTGGTGTTCCCGATGATCTCAATAGATCACAAATCAATGCCCAAACAATTGCTGCTGCTGCTGCTACTACTACTACTACTATTATGATTATTTGATTGCTATTACTATTCTATTACTTTTACCAAAGTCGGACTGCCCGGCCAGGCCTGGTCCTGCTCGGGCGAACGCTGACGGATGTGAACGGCCTGCGCATGTCGAAGGCCGTCTCTGACTTGGGCCGATGGAGGTAGATATGGGGGTTTCCCAAAAATTAGGGGTACCGTTTTGGGGGTCCCTATCATAAGGATTATAGAATTTGGGGGTCTGTAGTGGGGTGCCTCGATTTTGGGAAACTACCATATGGGAATAGGCAGTCACAGACGGCAATTGTGACCTGCCGCCAAGAAATGCCTCAATCAACGTTACGGTAGGTAGCAAGTTTTTAGGCGGCTCCATAACAACACGCTCCTAAGACACGAGGTAGTTCGAAGTTGCGCCCTGGAAATTTTACTCCTCAAAAGTAACTGGCAGGCATGATGCCAAAAGACAATGTGCACGTTGCTTTCGAGGAGCTTCCACATCTCCTCTCCCCAAACACATTTTCTAATCTTCTAAACCCAAATGGGAGATTCCCTTTTTGTTGAGTGAGCCCACTCGATAAGCTGTTGAGGCGGCTGGACAGTGCCCGAGCTGCTGTGAGGAGTTGTCCTTGCCCGCAGATACTCGGTAGCCAAATGATAGTTTCCCAAAATAGGGGGACCCCAATATAGACCCCAAAATACTATAATCCTTAATATTGGGACCCCCAAAAAAGGTACCCCTAATTTTGGGCAACCCCCAAATTTTGGGGAGAGAAGAAGAGGTTCAAGCCTGGTGTGAGTTCGGAAGGTCATGTGTAGGTTGTTGTTCTGATGGGCTTCTGAGGGAATGCGTGGGGGTAGCCGTGTTAGGGAATTTGCCAAACTTGCATGATCCTTCTTCTTGTCCTCCTCAAGTTCTCTAATCTCTTGAGGCAGCCTGTGATTATGATGCTTCTCTGCTGGCTTTCCATTGAGCACTTGGCAGACTTGGCAGGCAGCTTCTTGAGAAGATGGAATGCATGGAGTAAACCTGCATTGAAATCAGGTGTGTAGGACTTTGCGGACAGATGTAGGCTTTTGTCAGGCCAGGGGCCCTTGTACTTATAGACTATATTGCGGCACGGCACCTAATATTTAGCTGTGCCAGAATGGTACCTAATTTTGGGAACCACCCATGCGACATACATCGAGTTGTTTGTCAGGAGTCAGCTTAGAAATCCCTATTTGACCATTGATCACATGGGTGGTTGTCAAAATTATGGTCCCTTTTTGGGTACCCTAAATATTTGGTGCGGTATTATCATCGGGATCCAAAAAGGGACCATAATTTTGACAACCACCCGCATGCTGAGGAATCACCAGCTTCTCGGAGTGCCTCAGTCGCAACTGCTGTGTCTCAAAGACTTTAGGTTTGTACCCTTAATGGTTGTAATCCTAGGTTTTGGGTCCCAAATACACTCATTAAGGGCCATATTCCTTGGTTTAGGGACCCTGAGTCTCCGCTGTCATTACAACAGGTGGTGGTTTATTTCGTGGGAGCGGGTCAGCCCCTACATGCTCACCTCCCCAGAATACTGAATCCCCACCCCCCAAAACAAGGAAGGTTACCCATAGTAGATAATGGTGCTTGATATTGGGAAGTGTATTCTTCAGGGAGATTACCGGTTGATTACTAGGGGGTGGAGGGTGTATTTTTCTAGGGAGGGAATTGTGAAACGCTCAGCGCGACGGCCTATATCCGACTTGTAACTGCTGCGAGTGCTTTGAGCTAAACTGGTGCTGAAACACACAGGCGCGAGAAGAATCAGCAGCGATTCTTGTGATGTGTCAATGTCTAAAATCCTAGAAGAGAAATCAGGAATACTGTTCGCATTTGTGGAAGCCTTCCTGAGTGAAGCCCTAGTCCCCATCCCCATATACTCCGCAGGCCAGTATTGGTAGTTGCTGAGCCCAAACCAAATACTAGTAGTACTCTTGTTATGACCAGTACTACGCTTTTACTACTCGTATTTCTCGTATTAGCAATAGTACTACGGTGTATACTTCTGCTAGTCTCATTCCTATTACTATCACTAGCTACATTGTATCAATCCTCAACCCAAAGCCCTAAACACTTTAAACCCTAAACCCCAAGCCACCAGATCGCGTTGCGTGAGGCCTGATGGACTTTGGAGAGGAGCCCGGGAAAGGGACAGGGACCGAAGAAACTACTACAGGGGTTTAGGGTTTAGGGTACAGGGGTTCCTTTGAGTGAATGTACGGCAACAGCTCCAGGTTCAAAAAGGAATACTTACCAAAATTATGGTCCTCAAGTCTAATGGTGCAAAATCAAATGGAAAAAAACCATGGCAGCTGAAATGGAAACTGGGGCTGCGTAGATGTTTATAGGGATGATTACCAATACTTGGGTCCCGGATTCCTGGTTCGATTACGGTATAGGTTAGGTGGACCCCTACCCTGTAATGGTGGTTATAAGGGGAATTCCAATTACACGACTATTACAGGGCCGGGGTCCTCTAAGGTCTAGGCCAAACCTAAAAATCATGTTGTCATTCGTTTAAGCCCTGTGCATATTTTGTTTTGTTTTCTTTCTGGGCCTGTGGAGATAAGCCTTTCCAAGAACGGCCAGCACGGGCTCCATGGTCCTTATGTAGCCTTCTTGCGGATATGAGCCCGACTGTCGTTCAGCACCCTGAAAGCAGGGAAGGGTCAGCAATCAGAGTCATACCATCTCGAGGATGATGGCTACGATGTCGACATCTTCAATGACCAAGGCTCCATTCCAAATCCAAGAGGAGTTTTAGGGCCAACGTTTTGGATCCTATTGTCGTTTGTTCTTCTTGCTTAATTCTGAATATAAGTGCTACCATGCTTACTTTTGAGGGTCGCATGTTGAGAAGTTCCCAAATCCTCTATCCCCGCAGGATTTTTCTTATTAAATCCAGGGTGGGGCGCCCTCCTGAGAGATTACATGTAACCCTAAACCCTAAACCCGATGCCAGGTAGTGAAGAAGAGCTCCAGGCTTCTGTGGAAGCTCAGCTTGCAGACCTGGCTGTGGATGTTGCATGGCAGGGTTATGAGGGTTGTGAGGCTTATTGGGGTTAGAGGTTTAGAGTTGAGGGGGGTCTAGGGGTAATAGTATAGGGTTATGAGGGTTGTGAGGTTTATTGGGGTTAGAGGTTTAGAGTTTAGGGGGGGTCTAAGGGTGATAGTATAGGGTTATTGGGGTCATGGGGGTTCGGGGTGATTAGGCTTCTTGGGGTGGGGTATTACTAGGGCAACTAGGGGTCATAAGAGCTAGTAAGGTTATTAGGGCTTATTAGGTTGATTAGGGCTTATTAGGCTTTTCCAGCAGGATTAGTAGGTTTTAATTAGGTTGTAAGGGGTTTCGGTTTAGGGTTTAGGGTTGCTGCTTGCAGGTTGAGTGGAGCTAGAAGTGGAGATTATAGAGGGATAAGGGCCATAAGGGCCAGAACATGAAGCTAACTGAGTGCTCATAACCTAGTTTCGGGCATTTGTAGCCTCCTAAGAACTAACCATGAACATCTAAGTACCTTCTGCTTGGTCGCTGACAGCTAGGGGTAGTACAGGGAGCAAGGGGACATATGTCACTTTCAACACTTACTGGTAGTAATGAAACTATAAATATAATCCTTATATACTTATTCCCTTAATCCCTGCGAAGCATCAGTAAGAAGAGGGCGCTTTCGATGTAAGGGGCTTACTCTCTTGCACTTCAGAGGATGGAAAGCTTTCAAGAGATGATTCTGTCACATCTGGCCCAGGGGTTTGCGTTGTTGTAGGATACAAACATCCCATGCACTTCTTCCGGGAGTTGCTATGGCAAGAGCCTTGAGTAGCTGATGTAATATTACTTGGCAGTTTTAGAACTCTGGGCTCCATGAAGCGAAGTCCAGGTATACTTCAAGAAGCAATGGAACCTCCCCAGAACCCATGGAGCTTCAAAACTGGGCCCCTGGGCCTGGCTCCCCATAGTATCCCTATACTCCCATATTTCCTACTATCACCCACTTTGTGTAGCCCATTGCTGAGGCTTATTTCGACTATCCTGCAGCTGCGGGGCAGGTGCTGCAGATATAGCGGTTCCTCTGTAATTGTTGGGAATATCAAGGTAGCAGAAACTTCCTTGTCGGAGCATTTGGGGTGGGAGGGTCGGATTTCTTTTGCCATTTTGGGATGTCTTTCGGCTTTAGCTAGTAATTTTGGCAGAAGTAGAAGCAGCGACACTGGTATTCAGATTGAGAGTAGTAGCACGCAATGACAAAGTCAGTGGAGATAAGGATGTGAAAAGCCCTGTGTGCTCGGAGGTCTTTCGCTCCTGCGTGGCACGCGTCTGCAACGGTCATGGCTTCGAAGCGACTGGCATCCATGGATTCCAGGCACACAAGTTGTTATCTAGGAGTTCTACCCCGAAACCCGAAAATCCAGCCCCCCGCGCCCCCGGTCTCAGGCAAGAGGCTGGTCTTACTTCCCCCCTCTTACTTTGAGAAACTGGCATTTCCAGACATGTAAGCTCCAGCAAGGTACAGGACTTTCCCAGATGCGGCCTTCATTTTCATCAGCCCACAAAGCAAGCCTACTTGTCTGCTGTTTTGCACCCGAAGCAGGAGCGTTTGGTAGTTGGCAACTTGGCCAACACCATGAGCAAGCTGAAAGCTCTTTCTGCTGAACCTGGGGAGCGCAAAGATGACCCATCTACCGGCACATCTGGCACAGTTGAGCCACTGCTCTGCAAATATGGAAGCTGTGCTGGATCGTCACATAGTTGCTACCGCATTTTTTGCCGGCCTTTGAGTCAGGCAGCAAGGCTGTTAACCGCCTCCTTTCCGGCAGGTGCGAGTAATTAGTAGCTGAGGGTGAGCATCGTTTTGCAGCTTAGGTTTGGAAGCGATCTTTCTCGTCTACAGAAGGCCCGACATGTTCGCATGCAATTTCCAAGCCCGCGCGTCCTTGACGCCGCAGACCCCGCCCCCGTGCATGCAAGATGTTAGGAAGCTATTCGGCGGGAAGCACGCCTGAATGGCTACCATGTGGTGGAGGATGAGACTGGCTTCAAGGTTTCCCGCATGCCACGTGACTGCTTTTTGAAGAGCAGCTGGCATGGATGGACAACTTCAGTTGAGCAGTAATCATTTATTTGTGGGTATTATGGTGCCCGATATCTCCCAATATAGAGTGAGCTTATATCCTCCCTTTTAGTATAGTATTTCACAAGGAATAGAATAATATAAGGTTCACCACCCAAAAGAATAACTCCTCAGTTGAAATGTGGCTGTAGCTCAAAGCGATTTGGGAAGCGTTGGAACAGTGCAGGCTGCTTGCAAGCAAGTCTCATGTCCGCCAGCTTTGGCTTCATTTGAGCCATCTAAACTCCTTAAAGGGGGTTACATGGGGGACTACTACAGGAGTTATTAAGGGGAATCCTAGGAGTTTAGACTGAGATATTTTGTGTTGGGAAGGGAAAAGAACGTCAAGGTCATGCTGTATGAATTCTTTTCATGAAGCCACATCCCTTTGCCGATGAATCGCTGACACGGGATAGCACGCTAAAGCTCCAGTGCCTGAGGTCAATTCTCATTCCAAGCACGGAGAGTCTTGGCAGCATGATGCCTTGTCTTACTCGTGTTATCCTATATTACTTATCCGAAAGCTAGGAAGCTATGCGAGATCTTGGGTCACTTGTGTTCAAGGATTTTGGGTTTACTGGTGCGGAAGTACCCAAACTTGAGGGGCCTGCGGGCTGCCAAAGGCCAGTAATCCCCCAGGTTTTCAGAAGCTACCGTGCTAAGCCTTAGATGGCTAGGAGGATGGCCCCTGGTCAGTTCGTTAGTTGAGTATTTGATGGAAACCGGTAGAATACGAGCCCCAACTTGGGTTCCCATTAATGGTACTGGTCCCTATTACATAAGCTGGCCCGATATGGGGAACAGTTTGGCCGTGACTCACTGGCAAGTGGTGGCGATACCTAAAGCAAAGTAGCATCCGGTCACTGTTTAGAAGAGATTTCTTTACTCCCCAGCAAAGGGCCATCGTCAAGGACCTCTAGTAGCATTTTGTGCAGAGGTCCTTGGTCAAATGACCTGCTTGCAGCTCGCAATCATGTTTCAATGTATACCTTCAAACCGTATATATTCAAACACTTTGCATCCCAAGTCACTATTTGGCGCACTCGAAACAGTCCGTATTGTAGAAAACTCAGAAGTCAAGCCTTTGACAGCCCTTGAGGGTATCCTGCTAAGCCTGCAAGACACGGGAAACCGGCGAAGACCAGTCCGTAGATTCCTAGTATATGGTAGCTTCCCACAATGGGGGGCCCCATTAATTATGAACCCCAACATCTTATAATCCTTACCATGGGGACCCCCCAGAATAGTACCCCCTAATTTTGGGAAAGCCCTTTGTATGTTCGTGATCCACCCACAGGCCCCCCAAAGCCGCTGAGGGAAAAGCGGCGATCTATCCAAGAGCTGTGCCAGCTCAGCGGACAAGTCTTTGACAAGTATCTGGGTCTGCTCATCTTGCTAGGGATTTGGCTTCTACAAGTATCTGGGTCTGTTTATGTTGCTAGGAATTTAGCTTCTAAAAGTATCAGGGTCTGCTCATCATGCTGGGGAATTAGCTTCTAACAGTATCTGAGCCTGCTCATCTTGCTGGTGAATTAGCTTCTAAAAGTATCTGAGCCTGCTCATCTTGCTGGTGAATTAGCTTCTAAAAGTATCTGGGTCTGCTGATCTTGCTAGGGGTTCAATTTCTAAAAGTATCTGGGTCTGCTGATCTTTCTGGGGAATTAGCTTCTGATGCGTGGATAGTCACCCTAAACCCTAAACCTTAAATAGTTGTTTCTATTTTCTTTTCCATTATCCTAATATTACCCCGATATAACCCTAATATGACCCTCATACTCGCTGTACAACCCTCATTTACCCCCAATGGTAATAATCCCTAAGCCGTGACAGTTACCTGTGGTTGACAGCTCCCGGCTTAACTGCGCACTAAAGCAGAGATTGGGTTGACAAAAGAATTTTCAACATGTGAGCTATAGTCTATACTCCTTAGAGGGGGGAAAAATGGGGATTAGACAGGGGAGTATTATAAGGGTCATTCAGGGGGATACTAGGAGTTTAGACCATGGTTCCGCGAAGCCTGCATCACACTACTCTTCAATGTGCGGCCTACATCTAGTCTGCTTAGGAATCACTCCGAACGAGCTAACCCCAAATAGCTCAAAAATCATTTCAAAACGCCAATGATGTATCTGTGTGTCCTATATGTATGTATATACATACCACTGAAGGAATCTGACAAGTGTCTGGGAGTACGTCAAAGGTTCCAGGATCTTGCAGAACTGCGGATGTCTGTGGATATTTTCTGCCATGGGCCCCGGTTGGCGGTATTGAAGATGGCTTAAAATGCTTTTGGTCGTATGCATGTAACATGCGATGAAGACAGGCGCCGCCTGAATCATGCGCGGCAATACGCTTCTGCCTACCTTTCTAGTTTTGGAGTAGGTGTCCTTCTCCGGTAGCAGATTCGGTAGAAAAGCAGCAACTGGAAGGTCAAACCATCTCAACTTGAGGCTCATGCAGGGCTGTTGGTCAGCGTAGGCTGACATTTTTGCTTGTCCCCCTTCTGCTGCCGTACTTGTCATTCTTCTTGCTGTCGCATCAGTTCACGCGACCTCAGGTACGCAACGGGCGGAAGTGGGACGTCGCCACTCGACAGCAGCAAGGTAACAGCAATTCGACAGGGGACACAGCGACTTGAACAACGCGCGTCCTGACAGAGCATTCGGCAATTCGGCACTGTTCTGAGGCAGACCTACATGCGAAGAAACGACCTGCCCCCTGCAAGCAATTTAGACCGGTACGCGGATGGTGCATTGCCTTACCCGATGCCACTTAGGGCTTAGGGGTTTCTCAACAAAGGGAGTTACCTCTGGGATCCTGGGGATATACCGGCATTCTCAGAAAGTGTGTGGGCCCTCTGAAGGAGTTTGTGAGAGACTTCCGTTTCCTTACAGGTGTTGAAGGGGAAGTTTCAAGTGAAGCCCCTTCAAGTTTCCTAGAAAACCCTACATATGTCTTTATATACATATAAATACAAAATTTTGTGCTATTTTATGATATATTCCATTGTATCATCTGATATTATATGAAATATACACAGCTTTCCTTCCCTTACCCTGGACCACACAAATCATAAGCTTTTCCTGCTAACGTGCCCTCAGCCAAGGCTCGACATGGTGAAGTGCGGATCCCAGAAGACTTTTCTTACAGTTTAGGATGTGTAGGGTTTAAGGTTTAGGGTTTAGGGTTAAAGCTTTAGGGTTTAAGGGTTTAAGGTTTAGGGTTTAGGGACGGTAGTAGCGAAGAGGCACGGCCAAGGTTTAGGGTTTTGGGTTCAGGGGTTTGGGTTAAGGTCGAAGGAGGGAATGAAGGGATTGGTTATAGACACAACTTTATTGCTCAGGGACTACTGCAGAGATCAACTCTTGCAGTCCCTATGATGTACCATATACCCTTACCATGGGCAAATACATACATATGTGTATATGTATATGTATACAATACATATCTGTGTGTGTATGTATGTATATACACACAAGTTTTGTGTTTTTGTGGAACGCGGCGTCAGTAGGATGACGTCAGGGGCAGAAGCTCAGTTGAAGCACAACCATGATGCAAGAAATCACGCAGATTGAACGGAATGTCAACTCGATGACCCCTCACCCCCTTAAAGGCCCTGACATGCACCTAAACCCGAAAAAACCCTGAACACCTTTTGAGAATGAACCCCTAAACCCAATGAATCTACCTACACCCCTTCTGCACCAGGGATGGAGGCTCCGGGCGTTCGGATACCTTGGCAGAAGGGCTCAAGAAGGCAGCGTTTGAGTCTGTGAAGTGTGTTGGAATTAGTTACTGGGAAGTAGGAATATTCGGGAATATGTATCATATAGGGGGTATATAAGGACTATATTCCCTGATTCCATACTAAGAACCAATAAGGTGAAGTCAGTGGTAGTTTCCCTAAAAAGGAGGGCCCCACTATAGACCCCACAATATGATAGTCCTTACTATGGGGACCTCCAAAAAGGTACTTCTAATTTAGGAAATCCCCACAAATGTGTCAGGTTTTAGGGGCTCTGATTTATGAGTGCGAGTCCGAAGGCTGCCACTGGAGCAAGGAATTGTATGGGATGTCCGTGGATGAACCTATTATAGGGGTATTTCTGTGGTGCTTGTATCAAAACATACCCTTTCTTGGTGTGCGGCGGGCCGCAGTACAAAGGTGTCAAGCATGTTGAACATAATCATTGTCGCAGCCACCACTGCGGCTAGTAGTAACTATAGCTGCAGCGTTTGGATAGTCATGGCAGCAACAGGAGTGACTTCGAAATTGAGAAGACACAAGTAAATCCTGTGGCACTTCTGCTAGTTTCTTGCCTCTCTGGGGTGCCAGTACAGGAGGGGAAACATACCCAAGGAATCAGGACTATCAAAGCTCTGGCGCAGGTCGACCGCCCGCGCAAACGGAGGAAACCCAAGCCAACGCAATCCAAAAACAAAGCCGCCTGCAGGAAGCCGCGTCACCCATCATCTGAGCAGCAAATGTTTCACTGGAGAACCAGCCTCTTCGCTCATGGCCTGTTCGCTCATGCCCTGCGCCAGGCTTATGATGACACGTTGCATCTTCAGGTCGAGGTAACCAAGGCGGACT